AGTTATAGCTAAAAATATGAATTTACACAGAACCAAGGCGACGGCTATAATAAATAATGTTTTAGGAAACACATTTTTAGAGGATATATATGAAAAATTACGCGGAGAAAAAATCTTCTTTTCATTAATAATGGATGAAACGACTGATCAGAGCTCTTTAAAACAATGCTGTTTTACTGCTGTTGTCTATGATGAGAACACCAATAAGGTAGAGCATTTGTTTCTGGATATGGTGGAATTGTCATCAGGAACTGCTAAGGGACTGTATGACTGTTTACATCAAATGCTTCGAAATAAAAACATATCGATAGAAAACATGGTAGGGTTTAGTTCAGATACCACAAACGTGATGGTTGGAGAACATTGCTCTGTTTTTGCTCTTCTTAAAAAAAGATTTACCTCACATTGCTCTGGTGAAATGTTCTTGTCACATGATACACCTATCATCATCTAAAGCTTGTCTTAAATTGCCTCGAAACGTTGAAGATTTTTTTGCGTTCTGTTGGAGCTCACTTCAGTAGAAGTTCACAAAGACAACTAAAATTTAGAGAGTTTCAAGAATTCTTTCAAGTGGAGATTCACAAAATTCTCACACCAGCTCAAACTCGATGGCTCTCGCTGAAAGCGTGTATAGACCGTGTCTTAGAGCAGTATACTCCATTAAAAGCCTACTTGACAGAAACAGTCTTCTCAGATCCGTCGAAGACTACCGAAGAAATGCTGATTACAATGAACAACCAATTCACTGTGGTATATTTGGAGTTCATGTCTTACGTACTTGCACTGGTAACAAAATTCAATGTCTTGTTTCAATCAGAAACTTCCCTTCTTTACAAATTGAAACCAGAAGTCGAAAACCTTTTGAAAACGTTGTCTTCTAATTTCATGAAAATTAGCTATATCAAGTCCTGTGCTAATATTTTAAACGCAGACTTCAAAAACCCAACACATTTTCTAAGTTTAAACGAAATATATATTGGATTAAAGGCTGGAGAAAGTATTGAAATTTTAAAAAATGACGAAAATGTACCTCGTGCTGCTATTGCAGATTTCTATAGAACCTGCCAGGAGTTTTATATTGAATTGACGTCAGATATTACCAAGCGATTTGATTTTGGGGATCCTCTATTTTCTATTATATCCGCTGTAAATCCATCAGAAGCTCAACAGTTTCTAATTAAATCACTTGTGCCTGTGCTGAAGCGATTTCCAGTGCTTTATAAATTTGTGACCGCACAAAAATTAGATGACGAGTGGCGAACTCACGCTTTGTTAGATTTTGAGCAACATGGGCTTGAAATTCATGGAGATAACATCAATGCCGAAAGTTACTGGGGTAAAGTATTTCGCCTTAAAAATGCTGCGGGAGAATACATGTTTCCAAACATAAAAATTGTTATGTCTTTGTTGCTCATATTGCCATTTTCAAACGCGTCGGTCGAAAGAAAATTTAGTGCGCTTCGATGTTTAAAAACAGAAAATCGCAATCGGCTAAATACAGGTACTGTAGTGTCTTTAATGGCAACAAGAGAGGGTATAAAAAAATTGGGCGGCAGTGCCAAGTTTAATCCTTCCAACAAAATGCTTGCATCAAACGTATGGAAAAAGTGCAACAAAGGTTAAAAAATAAATATTATTTAAATAGGTTAAACTTGTTTCATTGTTTAAAATAATATTGAGGGGAATTTGTGGGGAATCAGCAGATTTTTGTCCCCAAATTTGGGGAATTTCATATGGAATTTTGGGGAATCACATACATTGGCATTAGCAACCCTGCTCTTGAAGCGTAATTCCTGCCGCACGGTCACTTCGCTTCGGCCTTTGAACGGGGAGGTTGTGTCGCTTACGATCAGAATATACATTACGCAACAGGACGACGTAAAATTAAAATGGGAAATAACCGTAATAAAAATAAGAAGCGACTGGCTTGGCGTTAAGAAACAGACATAAATATGATAAACCTAATGAAATAAGTGTCTAACGATCTTTCTACTTACAGTATTAATGATTACAAACATGTCGGTACATAGCATACGACGCGGAGTAGTGTGACACGAAGTGGGGACGAAATTAGAATTTGAGCTGACTTACTCTATCCCCTTAAGGCCAATGTTCATGTATCCATTTGTAATATAAAAACGTTCGCGGTTTTATCTACTGCCCAGCCGCACCTTAACCTGCTTGCGACCGGTGACACCAAGTTTTATATAAATTAAACAGTTAATTAATAGTTTTATATACATTACACACTACTTCATTAAACTTAAGTGTCTTCGATTTATTCATAGTTTATTAGCATGAAAAAGACAACATTAGCCTACGCTCAAAACTAAACTTGAGTTTAGCCGGATGAACTTAAGCTTATCATTTATACTAACATATAAACCTAAAGGAACCCTCAATAATGCGTGTTATTTTACTTTATTATGGAACCAAGCAAGTGAAGTAGGTGGATGTTATGATATGGTCTACAGCATTCTCTTTTTTTTTGTATATATAAATATTATATCGAAAATCTAGATGCGTTGTCACCTCTGAGGACTAAGTTAGAATGCCTCTTTACCAGTACAAACGCCTACGGTAACGGTCTACGGCCGGTCAAGTCGACCTAGTCGTGCCGCAACCATAATACAATACGTGCCCTTAGAGTTATATCAACAATATCGTAGATATATAATGAAGTTTTACTAGACTATAAAACTAATAACGATTCAATTCAATTTTATTTATTTATTTGTTAAACATAGGTAGTAGTATACAGATAAATTCATATTGGTTGTCAGTATCACAATGTTTGGTCATTAAATGGTGTACAAATTTTATAGTTCACTAGCTTGCCAGGCAGACGTTGTCCTGCCCTTTTCGACGACCCTTTGTCATGACCTGTTAAAAATCCTTAAATTCGCAAAAACTGGCCAAACTGCACACGGTGTGCAAACTTTATTAAAATCGGTTAAGTAGTTTAGGAGTTCATCGCGGACGAACAACGTGACACGTAATTTATATATATTAAGATTACATGGCACAAAATGAACATTAATTAAGATATACATCACCTATATCACAAATTTGCTATCTATTTAATAAACTAGCGATCCGCCGCACGGGTGATTTCTGGATTTCGAAAACAGCGTCACCTACTGGGTCCAATTGAGTTTCTAAACCATCCAGGAATCCACTCCAATACACACAAAAGAATTTATTATTCGTTATAGTACGAACTAAAATTAATATTTTTTTTTACTTTCATTATAACGCCACCGCAATCCCCTTTATCATAGGAATTTTGTAAAATTCGTTCTTAGTAATTTTAACATGCCAAAAAGAATATTCTGGTCAAGTTATATGTCTATAAGAGCTATAGTTTGTAAATATAATTTTTTAATTAACGCCCCCTGTAACCCCCCTGCGGGTGGAATTTTGTTAAGAATATTCCTACCAAATTTCAAGTCTCAAGGCCTTATGGTTCCAGAGATATCGCGATTAGATCAATTTCAAATGTAATATTTATTATTTATAATTTTAACATATGAATATTGCAAGGAACTATAATATATATATATATATATATATATATATATATATATATATATATATATATATATATATATATATAAAAAATTTACTATTGGTCAGTCAAAAACTCTGCCAATGTAAGAATACTTTACTTAGTAAAAGGCAACAATTGTCTTCAAAATAAATAGTCTATGTTTTTAAATATATCTATTTTTTTTCAGAGAAAAATTTTATTATATATTTTAAAAAATATAACTTTAATTAGTAGCTTTAAAATAAACTTATAATAAATTTTAATAATATTTAAAAATTTTAAAATTTATATTGTTTATAAATTATAATTTTTTATAATTTTAATTAAATTAAATTTTTTATTAAGTAATCATTTTAATAAATTAATTAAAATTACATTTAAATCCACCTTCAAAATTTTATTAAAAAATATTAATCATTTAAATTTATTTATTGTAATCCATTATATTCTTAATTAATCTGCATCTTGAGAAAAAAAAAAAAAAAAAAAAATAAATTTTTAAAAGCACCCTTTGTAAACTACGCAATATATGTTTGAACGACGGAGTGTACCTAATGGGTGTATAGTTTATGTAATAGATATAGTATCCAGATTAGATTATGCTTTATTCACTTGTAAAATTGCCTGTAAGTACTGTAAGTATCCCACTTCTAGACACGTGCCTCTTCTCATTTCTAATATGGTTTTTAGGCAAGGAATATTTTCGCGCTCCCCCAACGCGAGTTGGCGGACTTCTTATCATCGCAGGTTTCCTCCGGTGTTTTCCTTCACCGCTGAGTACGAATTTAATCAAATCTTAAAATCGCATATATAATATTTCATTGTTGCCAGCGGCGATCGAATCCGGGTTTCTCACGTACTGTGAATTGACTAGATTAGCCCCTGACCTACCACGATGCAATAGATCATCAGATCAGAGAGGAATCATATTCGTTTAAATTGTCACAATCACTTTTTCTTTAAAAAAAATGTAAAAATATTTATACTTAAATGATATTTAGTGGTACATATTTTGTATGATATTCTAAATTGTAATTCATAATTGAATTACTTGTTAAATATTTTGGGTTCCTGAAAAAGATGGTTCCTGACATCTAGTAGACATTATCAACAACTAATATTTATAAAACACGAATCAGCATTACGAGAAAAAATTTCATCATTCAAGCAACAGAGGGCGCTTAATTATGTTTGATAATGTCTATACATACATAGAAAATATAAATATATTTTGTACTAGGTAATACCTATAACATCATTGATTCATTGAGAACACGCTGCTATACCGGGCATTGCCTTCATGACCTTTATGTCCTTATGACCAATTAGACAACGCCATGCGTTATAAAAAAATATATTCCTTATATGTGAAGAAGTGATCTCTGAAGATTTTGTCTATTAAAAATTATCGTAGTAATCCCTACTGTAACATTTTATAACAAACACTTACGTGACTTAAACTGTTGAACTAAGGAAGCGCTGTCAGCCGCGTGATGATAATCGTAAACAGATCGGCCCACCAACTCATCAGGTTCGAATCCCAAGGTATTCATTAAACTGTAACAAACAAGAAATAACAAATTATAAATTTTTCATTTTGTTTTTCTATTACATATCATGGTAGTATGTACTTAATTCTTTCCATTCTGCGAAGTTGACAAAATAGGATAAAATATAAAATTGTAAGCACATTAAAAAGAGGTAGCCTTTCCGAATACTAATACCATTACAATAAAATAAAATGTCAAAGTTTTATATCTTCCTTTCATATTATATTTGTATAAAATGTTTGGAAAATATATAAATGACGAGATAACCAAGCATTTGCATGGGGCAAACGCTGAATAACTGCTAAAATGGACATAATCAAGTCAATATTTTTAAAGGTATAAAAATCAAGGTAATTTATTAAATTTAATTTAGAAATAACAAATACTGGTAAAGGAGTGTTTCATTAAGTACATGACAAAGGTCATTTTCCAATGGGACCTAAATTTTCCATGCTTTAGGTTATGTTTACCGGTAACTCAATGTTAACCTTGAATGACCTATAATCGCAATTCCACTGTTTATTGTAATAAAACTTTCAAACCCTTACGAGTACTGATATTACTGAAAATATAAGCGTAAAAACTTTAAATTGAGAACATAATGTACCTTTCTATTCATTTTTCAAAAATCCCGCCACTCTTTCTAACTAGCAACAAATGAGCAATATATGCTTAACAATAATTTAACAATAACATAACACTCCCACGATTTTTAATCACACTAGGAACCACACTAAACCACACCTTTGTTATAGTAAAACAATTAAAACACTCGAACTTTATCACGAACTAAAGAGCGGAGACGAGAAATCGCATCATGTTTAACCTACAAAATACATTTGAAGGTGATATTTTTGTTGATATAATACAACCATGGACTGAAGAGACATTATAAAGGTCATAGCACACTGTTTACAATGGTACCTAAATTTTGCTTCTTTATATGAGTAAAGAATTATTTTCAGCGCCATCTTTTAGCTGTAACATGTAACGTTTTGACTTATTAGAAGACAGAATATTTGAAAATTTCCTTGATTCCCCTCACAGCATTGAAATTTATTGAAAAGGACAAGCAAATTTTAGCAAACTATAAAATTATATATCCAACACGAAGGAGCTTTAAGTCAGTTCATCAAGGATGTTTGAAAGGTGATTCAATTATTATTATTAAGAATTCTGCTGTTTCCCAAAAAAAAAAAAACATAGTTTCTGCTTTCAATATTTTCGACGATAGTGCAACTTTTATGTGAGTTAGAGTAAAATACTTTGTAACCAGATAAAAAGTTTCGTCAAAATGATAAAAAAAATTCAAATTGCAGAAGCTATTAAATGGATCTTTTTAGTTCTTTGAAGTCGACGTTTACATTATATTAAAAGGTTTTTTTTAATTTGTGGATTAAGCACTAAATATCACACGACTAAAACCAAACCTTTTTCCATGACCATGACATGACCACTTGAAATGTAGGTACGCTATATACTATCTTCTATATTGCGAATATAAAATTGAATGTGAGATTGTTAATTGCGATTTTAAATGCTGATTTATCACGTGCTCGGCAGTAAAGGAAATCATGATGAGAAATTCACTTGTCTGAAGATTAAAATTTTTCGAGGACATATGAAGTTCGCCAACACGCACTGCAGAAAGGCGGCGGTCTAATTGCTTCAAAAACCCTCCTCTCCAAAATCAAACGGACCTGCTTCGTAATTTGCCTTCATATTTTTTTATAGTTCAGGGTGACAAACGAGGACACCTGATGGTAAGTGGATGCTGTGGCTCAGACATGTAACCTCGATTAAAAATCAAAATGCAGATGCCTTTTCACTCTTGAGGACTAGGATGGAACGCCTCGATTCCAGTAAAACGGGTCTCTAGTTCTCTACACTCACCATACGAAACATAGTAAGCATTAAGCTGCTCTTTTACGCTCGTATTCTTTTTTTTTATAGAAGAGGGGGCGAACGAGCATGCGGCTCATCTGATGATAAGTGACTACCGCCGCCCATGGACGACCGCAACACCAGGGGAATTGCAAATGCGTTGCCGGTGTTTAAAAAAGGAGTACCTCGGCTCTTTTCGCGAAGGTCCCTAAGTCGTATCGGTCCGGAAAAGTCGCCGGTGGTAAAAAATTCCACAGAGAAGTTGTACGAGGAAGAAAACTCCGGACCGCGGACCGCGACCGGTGGACCGCGAAGCATCCAGATGGTGAGGATGGTATCGGGAATTTTGACGCGGTGTGCGTTCGTGAAGTTTGGCGGCTGTAACTAATCCGATTTCTAAAGTTGAAAGCGATGTGCTGTCTCAAATACTCTACGTCTGAAATATTGTCTAGCTCTACTGAGCACGCCAAGCTTTTTAGAGGCCAATTTGGACGACGAGGATTCTGATGCTAGCTGAGGCAGCAAGGGGTGTGCCTTCAAACTGAGGAGATACTACCAAGGGGTTCTTTTAAGTGGTTAACGCGCAAACTTGCGTCTTCTGGGGACTGAATTGGGACTAGATTTAGCCGCCCCCCATCCGAGACTTTGTTAAGCAAAGACTCGACTTCAGACACAAGTTTGTCCCGGTACTCGGCGACGATTTCCCGAGAAATATTGGCATGGCCGGTGTATAAGGCATCACCAGTGCTGTCGTCTGCATAGCAATGAATGTTATCAGTTTGCAACATATCATTGATATGCAGAAGAAACAACCTTGGTGATAGCACGCAGCCTTGTGGAACACCAGCGTTAATAAGCTTGTAACCAGAGCGTGCACCGTCTACTACGACCTTGATGCTCCGATTATCAAGAAAGCTAGTGATCCAATCGCACAATTTCTCGGGAAGCCTATAGGAAGGGAGCTTCGAAAGAAGCGCTTTGTGCCAGACCCGATCGAGAGCCTTCGCTATGTCCAAACTAACGGCTAACGGCGAGTAAGGTAGAAGATCACCAGCTGATCGACTACGACGGAAACCGTATTGGCGGTGGTGGTGGAGCTGGTGATCCTCAAGGTACCTCATGAGCTGGCAGTTTACAATAGACTCCATTATTTTGGAGAACAGTGGTGATGGCGATAGGCCTGTAGTTGGACGGGTCTGAGCGGTCGCCTTTTTTAGGGATCGGGTGGACCATTCTTTTCTTTTTTATAGAAGAGGGGGCAAACGAGTATGCGGCTCACCTGATGTTAAGTGACTACCGCCGCCCATGATCAACCGCAACACCAGGGGAATTGCAGGTGCGTTGCCGGCCCTTTAGAAAGGAGTAAGCTCTTTTCTTGAAGGTCCCCAGGTCGTATCGGTCCGGAAAAAATCGCCGGTGGTAAACTATTCCACAGAGAGGTTGTACGCGGAAGAAAACTCCTTTTGAAACGCACTGTGGTGGACCGCCAAGCATCCAGATGGTGTGGATGGTATCGGGACGTTTGCCGCGTTGTGCGTTCATGAAATTTGGCGGCTGGGATTAATCCGAACAATTCCTCAGAGCACTCTCCATGGTATATGCGAAATAAAATGCAAAGAGATGCAATATCTCTTCGCAGTGCCAGTGAATCGAGCCGATCGGAAAGCACTCGGTCGTCGACGATTCGAGCCGCTCTGCGCTGGATGCGGTCAAGTGGAAGGAGCTGGTACTGCAGAGCCCCAGCCCACAGATGGGAACAGTATTCCATGTGCGACCGAACCTGCGCCTTGTAAAGTTGCAGGCGGTGTGCCGGCATGAAATACAGTCCCGGTCTGCTGAGCACGCCAAGCTTTTTAGAGGCCAATTTGGCCTTCTCTTCCAAGTGACCACGAAACTGCACGTCACTCGATATGTCAACGCCGAGGATTCCGATACTGGCTGAGGCAACAAGGGGAGTGTCTTGAAACTGAGGAGATACGACAAAGGGGTTCTTTTTAGCGGTTAACGCGCAAACTTGTGTCTTCTGGGGGTTAAATTGGACTAGATTTAGTAGCCCCCAATCCGAGACTCTGTTCAGCAAGGACTCGACTTCAGACACAAGTTTCTTCCGGCACTCGGAGACGTTTTCCCGAGAAATATTGGCTCGGCCGGTGTAAAGAGCATCACCAGTGCTGTCATCTGCATAGCAATGAATGTTACGGGTTTGCAACATATCATTGATATGCAGAAGAAACAGCGTTGGCGATAGCACGCAGCCTTGTGGAACATAACCATAACAGTCTTCCGGAAATTCGGGACTTTGCCTTGGGAATAGGAGTACCGGAAAACACGCAATAAAACCGGTGCCAACTCCGGAGCACACGTCTTCAGCACAACGGGAGGGACTCCATCAGGCCCACTCGACTTACTGAAGTCCAGGGAGAAGAGTGCTTTGCGAACCGAGCGCTGCGTAAATCGCACATTCGGCATGGAGCACTCACACCGCGAGATGGTCGGCAGTGTGTTTCCCCTGTCATCGAGAGTCGAGTTGGACGCAAAGAGTGAGCCTAACAGGTCGGCTTTCTCTCGGTCGAGTCGTCCTCTCAGATAACTGACAGAAATTTATTGCACTCACTCACTCTCTCATCACTTTAATGCTACAATTTTTTTTGCATACAGTATATCGTGGTATATACCGTTAAATATCGTAGTATAATACCCATCATAAGTTCCTTCTTCATATAGTTTTATTTGACTCCCTACATAATGTTTTCTGTATGTATATTAGTATGTATGCATGTATATTTATTTACAATATATGTCCATTCATTTTAATATTTTTAGCACCTACCAACTAAGTATTACATGTCGAATTCTCCCAGGGTTGACTGGTAGAGAATGCCATAAGGCATTAAGTCCGCCTTGTGTAAACCTTAGATTAAGGTGTAAAACAATTAAGATAAAATAAATAAATAAAAATAATGCATCTTTTGATCCCTCACTCTTTCTCTGTACTAAATTTCGAAATAAATCATCAAACTGTTTTAGAGAAAGCCATCAGACAGAGAAACAAGAACTTAATCAGTAAGATTATACAGCAAAATTTGTTCAGTTTTAGCAATTTTGGTACAGAATTCTAAAAACATTAAAATTATGTTAAATTACTGACCCTTCATCGGTGTAAGTGAATTTCATGTCCAAGCTGTGTTTGGATAAGAAGGTCTTGCTATCGAGGGGGATTTCGATGTTTGATGGATGCGGAATGGGCCGTCCAACAGCCACAAGCGCTCCGGCTTTGTTTGCGATCTTAGTCACTTCACCCTCAATCTTCTTATCCTCTGCTTCATTATTGTTGCTCTCAGATTCGTTCACATTTTTATCTTCGGATGCTGCCAGCATATGACCAGTTACGTGAATAACCTGCAAAAATATAAAATAATTGTTGATTACGCTTATATTATCACGAAAGCTAAATTGATCAGTAAAAGGAACAAAACAACTAATTAAGTAGTGGCATTGAGGAGTTTGGGCTCCACGGAGTTTCATGTAAGAAAAGTGTTGGTACCATGGTAGGTCCTATAATGGTGCTTTGAAAAATGTTATTTGAAAGGTTTTAGAGCCCAAGAAGAGTAAGACACCAGACGTTATGACTGGTCCCGTGGAAAAGAGGAAAAGTTCCAGTGTGACTATTGGACCCTGGGGCCAACTTCCTGTGAAGTTACTAAAGAATCTGTATCCGCGACTTTTACCGTAGCCCCTGGTGACAACAGGGCTGGTAATAACCAAGCGAGAAAATATTCTCGCTTAAAAGCTAAGCATTCAGCTAGGAAACGCAACAAGCTTTCTGGCACTATACCGCGGTGAGTAGGACTGACTGTATGATAATTCTAGTTAATTAGAATCATATCCCGGATAGTTGGACAGGTGCTACCACATAATTAGATTTCAAATCGACATTTTTGTATAGATTTTTTGCCATTAGTGTGTCATCAGTTGCTATATGTTTTTGAAAGTATATTATAGCTTTTCTTCTGAATGAGACTTCTACCAATTTATCGTTTATATGAATCACTATGCTAAGAAGAAGGATTATTAATAACAAAAACAAGTTTTGCGTCGTTCTTAGTCAATAGTCTAGGTCTAGGGTATTCAAAAATTCTAAATCAGATATTTAAGTTTTTGGTTGTTGAATTAAATTCCACCATCACAAGGATTTGTCAAGTTGTTCAACATTATCCATACAGCCTATCGAAAGTCCACTGCTGAACCTATGTTCAGACTAGAGAGACTCCTTTGAGGCAGACTATGGAGCAGGCCTATGCCTGCTCCATAGTCTGCCTCAAAGGAGAGGTACTTACTTGCTACAGTTACTACTTGACACGCCTGGTAGGTGGTTTGGAATCGCAGTTTTCTGTTACGTTGAGTTGTTATCAGGCAGATGGCTAACTTTCTCATTTTACTTCCCTTGCCTCCACCACCGGATGGTTGGGATAGTGGATTCTCTAACGTCACCACTACACTGTAGAGTAGTTTGTGATGATTTGCCACACGTTTCAATAACAACTTTAAGTCAACGTAAGACGTTTTCAATCGACTTCAAAAAAGGAGGCGGTTTTCAATTCGAGTGTATTACTGTGTGTTTACCTCCGAACTTTTTCCTAGGTGAACCGATTTTGATGATTCTATTTTTTTGTTTGAAAGCTGGTGCTTGTCTTTAGTGTCATATAAATTTACTAGACTTATAGTACATTGATGATGTTCCCATTTTATTTATATTGAAGTCGGTTGCACAAAATGTTTAATTTTACTACTTGTTTGTTTAATAAATTGTTTCTCCCACACATTTTATGAACAATTAAACGGACCGTAAATCAAAACGTGACGTTTTTTTTAATACAGGAACTACGCATTTAAGGATAAAATAACTTGCGGATAGTACGGAAATACGTTTATTTAAAATTAAGCAGACTTGCTTATTAATTTTCGGTATCGCCAGTAAACATGCTTAAATTAAATTGAGGTCAATGTATGCATTAAGGCAAACAGGGACCAGATAACTGGTGTATTAGTAATGGCCCTGTGGCGCCACATTGTTGATAGATTATTTTGTTTATAACTATAAGAAAGGCCTAACAAACAACGCTAAATAAATTTAATTTGGGCGTTATCAATGTCATGCCTAAGTAGTAGTAAGTAAGACTTCGTGTAATACCGTTTACTTTTTATTTGTGCTGACAATACGTTTAAATTTTATTACATTTATGTTTCCTAATCTTAAATAATATTTAACTATTTCAATAATGTGCCCGATGCAGAAGAATCGTAAAAACCCCAGTTTGATTATTACGATAAAACTTCGAACTGCGTTTATTTATGTCACTAAATTAGTTTAGTCTGGAATATTTCGCAAGAGATAATTTCGGTTTAAAAAAAATAACTTAGGCTAAAAGTGAAAGATCAATATGATCTTTCTATTGATTTTTTAAAATATTATTAACTCGCGTTTAAAAATCGTAAATTGTACAAAACGCAATATATCTTAATATAATAGTATAGAATCATTATCACCATCATCATCATTTCAGCCCTTCACAAGTCCACTGTTGAAGATAGGCCTCCCCCCCATGCCACAAAGCACGGTCTTGAGCCACCTACATCCATCGACTTCCTGCATGTCTTACCAGCTCGACACTCCATCTAGTGGGGGAGAGTGGATCGCCCAACATTTCGCCTACCGGTAAGAAGCTGCCACTCGAGAACCTTTTTCCCCAATGGTTATCGGTCCTTCGAGCTATATGGGCGGCCCGTTGCCACTTCAGCTTACTAATCCGGCTATGCCGGTCAGTCTGATTTTATTGCGAATATCCTCATATAGAACCTCAGTGCATAGCGTCCTTGAGTTTACTCATACATAGTGAAAGACCACATCTCACGTCCGTCACCACGTCTCGGATCCGAAAGTCATCACTGGCAACACGCACTGGTTGTACAATCTCGATTTCAAGACTTGAAGTAGTGACAAAAAAATAAAGGCTCGGCACTTCTCGGCTGGGCACCGTTCAGAAAATAAGGTAATTTTCTGAACGGTGCCCAGCCGAGTCGAATCCGTCGATCGACTTCTCGGTCGAAGTTGGACTTACCTAGTCGGACTACTTGTTCCAGGTAAACATACACGTCAAAAACTTCGAGCTTAGTGCCCCAATAACTACCGGCATATTTGTGACATGGACGTTACACATAATCTTTGTTTTGTCCATCTTTATTTTAAGACCTATCCGAGGTTGAGAGGCACTATTTAAGTCATTGAGCATAGTGCCTAGGTCCTCCAGCGATTCTGCCATAAGGACTATATCGTCAGCAAATCGAAGGTGAGTGATGTACTCGCCATGAATGTTAATATACCGTATATTCACCGTAAAGTAATAATAGAATCTTTAATACATTGTTATTAAACACAATATATTCAGGAATTTAATAACGCTTTAATTATTGACTAGTTTTTACGGTAGTAGATCTTTCTAGAATGTCTACAAATATCGGCGTCAGTATGACTAATTAATCGCAGTGATATCATAAAACATCAAATTAATTAAACAGTCCTTATCAGTACTCTATAGGACCTATCACATAGGCATCCCAATTGACAGTATTTCATTAAGGAAGTAGCAAAACATAGTATCTAATGTAATGGGCAAAGTGTACAGTAAAAGTAGCAAGTACTCGTGTATTGATATATCCCTTGTTTTAGTGGTCACACAAAGCAACAACACAACACTGCCTTTTTCGTTAAAACATTTCTTTTTATTAGGATATGTCACACTTTTGACACTGCTGCTATAATACGTACAGGATAAACTTCGGATAGTGTCGAATAGGTAGGAAGGAAGGTAGGAATCGCAGGGCTAAACCTTCCTCTCCATTTTATCATCGGATTACCAGACACTCGGCTAGCCTCCACTCCTTTGTTGTGGACATACCACGCATTCGAAATATATTGTTTTTTCGAATTCTAAAAATATTGTTTGCTTCGTCGTTAACAATGTGTAAGAGCACAGGAGTGAAATAATTTGCCAGTGTCTTTCCATCCGGTTAAAATATAGTCTTCAAGACAAAATTGAATAGGCTTTCGTTAAGCTAAGTGAGAGTGAGTTTTACCATCTTTGTCTGGTAGTCAAGCACTGGCATGAAATAGTGAAAAAAAAACGTAATCTACAACTTCTTTGCCAGCTATATCGTCATAAGAACGATTTGTGGAGATGTCTCGCACAATTGACTCTGTCTCTTTTTGTTGATTTGGGTATTTTACTATTGCTATATACGAAACGATATAGTGTGGAATTATGGGAGGCTATTAGTAGTCGCCTCTTACGAAAGCTACCACGAAATGAGGTCATGGTTACTCTTACGCGGTCGTTACCTATTAATAATAATGTCCTCGAGACAGAAATTTATTCACGGCGGCCAGTCTCGACGGAGACTTGCCATCTGGGCAGAGGTTAGAGTATGTGGGCAAGCATAGATGTACTCTCTATTCTCTCACTTTCATAGTACGATGGGACAGCGAAAAGACACGACCAGGGAGACATCAGGCACAGGACCTAACCGCCTTAAGTGGCACGGAGGTGAAATACCACCAACTTGTGACTATGAACTACTACTAAGAAATTCTCGATAGAAAAATCGAATAAATGATTTTGGGCCAGGGTCGGACCAATCACTGTAAAAGATCATAATCAGAGAGTAATCAAGAAAACACGTATTTTATAGAACTAGATAAGAGGTGCTACCAAATGTATCTTGCTGCATGCATCCACTCTCTTGTTTTATAGTTAGTTCGCCATGCTCTTGTTGTATTGTTAAAAATATCGATCGATTATCTTGTTTTCGGTGTTATTTGGGAAAAGTAATTTTTCTAATCTTGTTTCTTAATAACATAATAGCTATAATAATCAATATGCGGCCACCGCACCTTTAACATTCAATTATAACAAAATTATCAATAAATTAAATGACAGTATTATTATACATCGTATAACCGCAAATATATAAATAAATTGAAAGGTAATTTTTTTCTTGAACTGGATATACTTTTTATACGAATGCAAATATGTTAGTATTCTATAATTCTTACGTTGGCTGCAAACGTTACGTCTTTCGGCATTTAAAACCTCGTAAGTGCAGTTTTGCCATTATTTTATTATTTCATTAAATAAGTACATATGTTATCAAATACGACACATCTTCTCGTCAGGTATACCTCAAACTCTGAAAACTAGATTGTACACTAGTGCGTGTTGCCAGTGATGACTTACGGATCTGAGACGTGGTCCTTCACTGCTGGCCGTATGAGGACGCTCAAGGTCGCTCAGCGAGCTATAGAGAGGGCTATGCTCGGAGTTTCTCTGCGTGATAGATTCAGAAATGAGGATATCCGCAGTAAAACCAGAGTGACGGACATAGCCCAACGGATTAGTAAGCTGAAGTGGTAATGGGCCGGCCATATAGCTCGAAGAACCGATAACCGATGGGGAAGAAAGGTTCTCGAGTGGCAGCCTCGTACCGGTAGGCGTAGTGTAGGGCGACCCCCCACTAGATGGAGTGACGACCTGGTAAGACATGCAGGAAGGCAGGTGGCTCAGGACCGTGCTTTGTGGCATTACTTGGGAGAGGCCTATGTTCAGCAGTGGACTTGTGAAGGGCTGTAATGATGATGATAATGAATGATGTTATCAATTACGCAACTCGAAATATAAAACTAATATCAATTTTTAATGTAACCTGCAAATAGATCGCTTGACTAAATGATCATATTTATCATCATCTTCATCACGATAGCTGAAGCGTAAAGCCGCAATGGGCCGGCCATATAGCTCAAAGAACCCATAACGATAAAGTGTAGGGCGGTCCCCTGCTAGATGGAGTGACGACCTGGTAAGAGATGTAGGAAGTAGGCTCAAGACCGTGATTTGTGGCACATTGTGTAGAACTAAGTTCAGGAGTAGATTTGTGAAAGGCTCATCATGACGATGATGAATTCTTACCCTTACTTCTTTGCGCACTTTACGCATGCATGCACGCAGAAAACGCTGTTCTACCGATGACAAGTAGATACTGTGATTTATAGACACCTACATGTATCCCCTAATAATTAAAAACAGTAGATGCGACCCACAGGACTAATTTGAAAATTATACTATAAAAGTAATACTAAGACAAATATTTGAAGACAAATACAGTTACCTTGTAGGAGGCGGATTTGAGATGCACATTCCTCCCTTTGCTGGTGAGCGTGCACTTGAGACGCAGCAACAGATCGCGGCGACCGGTCGTGTTGCTGCGTAACGCCTCACGGATCTCGTCATGGTCGCACGGATGGCTGAACTCGAATACGCTCTGACCCATTATCTCCATCTGAATTAAAACACAACATAAAAAAATAATCGTTTCGATCTTGACTCGTGTGAGATGAATACAAAACAGCGGTACAATTTCTATTACCGCATGGATGTGGTCAAGAAAATCGACTTTAGTTAACGATAAGATCTGTAGGCATTCGGCAGATAGTGTAATACCTAACACAAGAAACACAGTTGCTAAATCTAAAATAACACCAGATGTTTTATTCCCAGTTCTACTTATAAAACGTCTGGTGTTGCGATGGCTAATCTTTATTTTTTTTATAGGACAGAGTGACAAACGAGCACGCAGTCCACCTGATGGTAAGTGGTTGCTGCGGCCCATAGACATCTACATCTATCCTCGATTACAAATCAAAATGCAGATGCGTTGTCACCCGTGAAGACTAAGATGGAATGCCTCGTTTCCAGTAAAAAGGGTCTCTGGTTCTTTACACTCACCATACGAAACACAGCAGCATTAAGCTACTATTTTACGCTGGTATTCTGTAAGAGCGTGGTCCTTCCCCGGTCGAGCCGACCCATTCGTGCTACAACTATACTACTAATATAACTGCAGCATGGCTTTACCACGTATAAAATATTGTAGTCGAATGAATACCTGTAGAGTTGATTTGATATTTTTTAAGGATTTTAAGAGTTAAAGGAAATGGGGAGATTTCCTGATAAGCAAGATATTCAGTCCGGGTACCGGTCAATGTTCCATGTTTTAGAACTTGTTTTTTTTTATATTTACTCATCCGGAAATTTCGATAGTGTGTTGAGGCTTTGGTTCGTTTACTCTAACAGCGCGACGACAGCGCAAAAACTAAATATAAATAAATGGCAATCTTTTTCGCCAATTGTCAGATGACAGAAAATGGTGAACCTTTTGACTTTTGGTATATTGATAGACATCATGATTACCAGTGTATCGGCTCAAATCAAGTCAAAACTTTTTTTTTTCAAAATTAGCCTTCACAAAGTACTTTTAAAAGTTAAGAAAGCAACGCCATCCCTGCGCTCAACTATATTTCAATCCTTCAGATTTCAGACAACAAGGTCGGTAAGAAAAGTGAATAGCTACTCTTCTACAATTTTTTGGAATGCACACAACCTTCTCGCATAAAATATTAATCTGCCTGCGGCGTTCTCTTACACCTTACCAAACTCGGGTTTTCTAAAATTAATTAATAATAAATTCAAAAAGCTACGTGAACTATATACAGGTGCTGCGATTGAATAACAATATTGTATATATAAATTGTAAGTAAAAGGCAATTAAAATAATTAATAAGTAGCCTACATTAAAAAAAACTTAGTAAAGTTACAGCCTATATACGTCCCACTGCTGGGCACAGGCCTCCCCTCATTTCTGAGAGGGTTTTAGGACAAGGAAGTGACCGCCGCGCTGCCCCAATGCAGGTAGGAGAACTTCACATGTCTTCAAAATAAAAAAACCCTATTTCTCAGACATGCAGGTTTCCTCACGATCTTTTTCTTCACCGCCGAGCACGTGGTAAATCAGCACTTAAAATTGCATTTGACAATTTCATTGGTGCCGGCGGAGATCGAACCCGGTTTGCTCGCGTACTGTGATATTTACAATGAGCGCTTATCATCTGAGCTAACACGGCTCAACTTCAACAAAAACAAACTTAGATTTTAAGCAAAACAATAAAATAGTTCCAAATTGGTTTTATGTCTGAATTCACGTTTTTACACCCAATTTGCAATAAAGGATTCATTCCTTATTTAAAAAGAGTTGTTAACTCTTTATTTTGTAAGAATTTTCTTTTTATGCTGAAAAATGGGTCGTGTGAGCAAATTCAAGCAAATTTAAAATATTTCTCTTAGTCTGTTTGTTTAAGAGTTATATATTAGAGAGTTATATTTTATATGTTAGAGTCAAAGGATAGAAATCCTTTATTACAGTAATTAATATTATGTAAGAACAATAAATCGAATGAAGGCATTTCACTAAGTCAATGATATCCGGAATTCGTGTACCAAATTTAAACCAACACCTGTTACACATATAGCAGTGTTGGAAAATATCTCAGTCAGTTTGACTTGTTTAGAAAACTATTCGGAACGGATTATTTTAGTCACTTCCTAACTATACATATCATTTAAAAGATATTTTTAAAGAAGTCTGTTACTACTAAACTAACAAGTGTTTTTTTTTAAACAAAATTATGTAAAATGACCAATATTAATACCGGAAATTATGTTTTAAACCAGTTTTAAACTAAACCGTAGAGCTACTTAACATATATTTATCGTAAAAAGCTTGAAATATTTATTAGATTTTTTTATTAACTTGCTTTACGGCTCTGGGTTCTAGCCCTTTCGAGCCTAATAGCTCGAAAGACTGCCAGTTCCAAAAATAATTGATATGAGACTTAGGAGAGTTGGGATTTCATCCAAAATCAAAGTATCCAAATAGTATTTTTTATTTATAAGTAGGTAACTGCTTTTTATCAATTGCTAGACAGTTTCTAACATGCGCCATCTGACATGCATAACCTGAAAGATTACTTAATCGACAAGGGTTTTTAAAATACCCGAAACCAATGCACCTTTGTAGTCGAATACCTACTATCGACAAACTTGTCAATTTGCCTAATAAAACCTAAGTGTTATAACATTTATTTATTTAGCTACTTGTGAACTTAAATACATTTAGTCAGTAGGTAAGATACAAAATAAACTAAAAGTCATTCAAATAAGACCTTATCTAGTGCGTGACACATTGAAGGTAACTATAATTGTCGCATCCCAAGATAAAAGCGGACACCGGAGTAATTTCACTTGTCATGCTCGCTTTTTTTATAGAATAAGGGTGCACAACAAACGAGCACACAGTCCACATGATGGTAACTGGATGCTGTGGCCCATAGACATTTTCATTTATACTCAATTAAGAATCTAAATGCTGATGTGTAGTCACCCCCGAGGACTAAGATGGAATGCCTAGTTTCAAGTAAAAAGGGCTCCGGTTTTCGACACTCACCATATGCAACACAGTACCATTAAGCTGCTACTTCACGCTGGTATTATGTGAGAGCGTAGTCCTACTCTGGTCGAGCCGAACCATTCATACTACAACCATAATTTAGCTGAAGATTTACTTGGCTGTTTGGTTATTAGGGTTAAAAAGTTTGCCGTCTTGTTTTCACGTATCTTTCAAGTACAATAATTTTACTTTTACTTAAGAAATATAGTTAATATTTTTACATTTATATTTTTAATATATCGCTATATTTTCCAATCCCTATCATCGGATATTGAGAAATCAGTACATAAAAATATAAGTCTGCTACTGCTTTCAATTATCTCATTTGAAATTCAACTAAAATTGCAATGGCTGTAAAGATTTAACTTTTAGATAAACACTGACCGATAAAAGAAAACAAGACATAAATCACTTATCACATATCCGAGGATTGTCAAGGTTCTCAATACGTCAGTACTTAAATAATAAGATCAATATTTTTTCAGGAGAAAATGTGTAGATGTGAAATGTGGTGATATCATCAGCCCAATTTATACATTTTTTTATCACAAAGAATTTAAAAGACAGTATTTAAGAAGTTATCTACACAAGCATTTCATCTATTTCGTATTGTAATCAGCTAAAAGAATTATCTACCCGATCATTATTGTAGTGCGTACATAATACATAACATAAACACTCACACCTGTCACCCAGAGGGGTAGGCAGAGACTACGGACTTCTATTTGGCACGATCCTGACATACCTCTCTTGCCTCCTTCACATCCATATATCTACGCATACATGCTCGTCGGTTAAGGGTACTTCTAACGTGGCCCCTTTTCAAAATATCGCCAATTTGGTCGATAAACTTTTTTCTAGGGCGTCCCTTCCCGACTCGGCCGTTCACATCTGCCATATAAATTTGCTTTGTCACTCTTTCCTCATTCATTCTTTCTACATGACCAAACCACCGAAGCATTCCTTTCTTAATCCTGGTCACAACATCATCTTGCATACCACATTTATCTCTTATCACGCAATTTCTCACCCTGTCATTCAGATTCAACCCTAGCATACTCCTTAAAGACCGCATTTCTACAGCATTTATTCTACTTTCGTGCTTCTTCTGCCACACCCAGCTTTCACTACCATACATTAAAGTAGGGACTAACACAGCATTATGAATTACCATACGTGCCTTTTTTGACACATTCTGGTTCTTCACAATAGAGTGTAGTGCCCCATTCACTCTATTCCCTGCATTTACTCGTCGTTCTATATCCTTATCATATCTACCATCCCTGCTAAATACACATCCCAAATACACAAACTCATCCACTTGCTCAATTAACTCTCCTATTCTTATTTCACATACCGTTTTGCTTTCTTCTCTTTCAAAAACCATCACTTTCGTCTTACTTTCGTTCACTTTCATTCCCCTTTCTTTTAATTCCCAGTTCATTAATGTAACCATCATTTGCAACTCAGCCACCGATGACGCAAATATGACTTGATCATCGGCATACAAAAGGCATTTGACGGTTAACTCGCCCATTCTTAACCCACATTCTTCCTCTTTCAAAGTTTGCAAACACCTGTCCATAAATAGGTTGAACAGCCAAGGGGAAGCTACACAGCCCTGTCTGACACCTTTTTGGATGCCAAACCAGTCCGAGTAGACCCCATTGATCCTGACACAAGCACTAGAGTCCCTATAAAGAGACCTTAATGCCTGTAACAAACCAGCGCTCAACCCATATGAGTTCGGTGATTGCCATAACACATTCCTGTCCACTCTGTCATAAGCCTTTTCCAAGTCCATGAACGCACAAAAAACTTTCTGGTTTTTGGCCAAAAACTTCTCCGCAATCATGCGCATGGAAAAGACTTGATCTGTACACCCCATTCCCTTTCTAAAACCCGCTTGCACATCCCAAATTTTTCCATCAGTTTCTTTCATAACTCCTTCAATTAACACCTTAGCATACAGTTTACCCACAATACTAAGCAAGCTGATTCCACGGTAGTTTTTGCAGTCCTGCTGTGACCCTTTTCCCTTATATATTGGTACTATAACTGCTTTACACCAGTCATCCGGTACCCGTTTTAATTCCCAACATAAATTAAACAAGGTGTACAGCAGGCCTGCCACCACTCCCTCTCCAGCCCTTAGCATCTCGAGTGATACTCTATCATATCCAGCTGCCTTATCTGCTTTCATGCTTTTCATTGCTTTCATTATTTCATCTACACTTATCTCCATACCCCTTTCCACTTCTTTCGGAATTTCTAGTTCATTTAATTCAGACGACTCTTCACTCATAAACACGCTTTCAAAGTATTCCTTCCATCTGTTTAAATTCGAAGCTTCATCATTCAGAATACATCCATTCTCGTCTCTTATAGCATTAATTATAGGCTGTTTTGTATTTCCCCTGGCAGTTCCTACGAGTTTCCAGAACATTTTTATGTTAGCCTGGAAATTATCAGATATCCTTCTATCATTCTTATCCGTTCTTTCTTTCTTTTTCCTTTCAACAACTTCTTTTACTCTCTTATTTAGACGTCTAAATTCTGCCTTTTTTCTTTCAATCATACCAGAAGAATTACCAGCTTTGGTTGCTAGTAAATCTAACCATGCTTTCTTCTTTGATTCAACTTCCACCCGTACCTCATCATCCCACCACAACGTATTACTTTTCCTTTCATTTGTTCTCTTACTTACACCACATACTTCGGTGGCGGCATCCACCAAACCTTTCTTAATATTATCCCACACAGTATTCAAGTCTAAATCATTCATGCACAACTCATTCAAACATCTAATATTTCCTCTCAGTCTACATTTATACTTCTCTTTCACATCTTCATCTTGTAACTTCTCTATTCTTATACGCTGTAACGCAGTGGTAGACACAGATGTCCGATGCCGCCAACGCTTGAAAAGACCATTAATTCGACATAAGACCAAGTAATAATCCGTCCCTACGTTGGACCCCCCGGTAAACCCTTGTATCTACGACTGCGCTCCTCATTCTTTCATCCACAATTACGAAATCTATCATGCTTCTATCATCACCTCTTTCCCATGTATACATGTGAATCTTCGTATGACGAAAAAAAGTATTCGTCACAAAAAGATTCTTTTCCACACATACGGTGAGGAGGTCTTCACCATTCTCATTTATACTTTCATCACCAAACGTTCCCAATATCCTTTCATAACCAGACCTCTTCACCCCAACCCTTCCATTAAAGTCTCCTAACATAATAATATTTTCATTTTCCTTACATTTTGTCAACACCATCCTTACCATGTCCCAAAACTGCTCTCGGATGTAAGTGGGCTTAGACATGTCTGGGGCGTACACCCCTAGCAGGAACAGCTTCTTTAAGCCCACTTTCATGCGTATCCATAGCAGCCTCGGGCTTACACATTCATACTCTTTCACACATTGACCCATTCTTTCTGAAAGGATGAAACCGACTCCCTGGCATGCCCGTTCGGCCTCGTCTACACCAGACCAATACGCGGTATACGTGCCATGTGCAGTTGCATCCTTTCCCTTTCGTTTCGTCTCATTCACACATAACACATCTATTCCTCTGTCATTCATCATTTCGCATACTTCATCCATCTTATCATTCATTCCTCCACATACATTCAGCGTAGCCAGACGGGTTTCCGCAACCCACTTTTCGCCCCTCCGGGAGACAGAACGTGACGGGTGGCGAACCTCGTCGCCGGTTTTTCTCCCGGAGATTCTTCGCACCCCTGCCCCATTGAAGGGGCGCCGGGAACTCGGAGCCATTTCTTTTACTTTCTGAGTCATGGTGCGAACAAGGGGTGGTGGTAGATTTTACGCCGCTACCATACGGCGAGGAGCCGAGTCTATTTTTTCGGCTTTGTCGCTCGTTTAGCACCACCCGGGGGACATGTGTAGGGTGGGCCTAAGGTTAGGTGGTCGAAGCCTACGGACGCGAGCGACTCATCCCCCGTCGTGTAGTGCGTAAAGGATCAAAATAAAATCATGCATAATAATCTTCCGTTAACCAGACGTCGCTAGTCGGGACTGAGGTAGTTTTTTGTTACACAATGTCTTAAAATTGAGAAGTTGCATTTAAAATAAGTCTATCGGTTTCTCGAGTATTGTATGGGATTATCATGATATAGTATTATTTGCTGATGATACTTCCTTGATTTTTAAACTTTTTAAACGTCAATCATTTAAATGTGACGAAGTGAATAATGCAAAATTAGTGCATTGGTTTAACGTTAATAATCTACATTTAAACGGCAATAAAACTAACCGTATTAAATTTACAACAACAACTGTTAATAATCCGAATACCAATGTGTTTTTAAATGGGGAAGAACCGAGTCCTATTGAATCCTCTGGTTTTCTTCACTCTCGACGCTAAGCTTCAGTGGGGCCCCTATATATCTAAACTAGCAAGCAGACTAAGCTCTGCACTTTATGCTGTAAAAAATATTAGAGATCGCACTAGTGTCGAGACAGCTAGTAGAAGTTTATTTCAGTTATTTCCATAGCATAATGTCATATGGGATTTTGGCCAGAGCTATTTACAACCTTAAACCGATGCAGTCTCTTAGAGAAAAATTTAAAGAAATAAATATTATATTAACTTTGGCCTCTCAGTATATCTACGAAAATTTGATGTATGTTCACAAAAATAAAGGTAGTTTTAGTAAAAAAGTGACGTACACTCTGTAAACACTAGGAACAAACACAAGCTGGTGCTACCAATTTCTCGACTCCAGAGTCAGTTATTCATTCTTGGGGCAATGTATACAACTATGTATTACAACAAAGTCCCAGAAAATATACAAGTTCTCTCTATTACCAAGTTTAAATATTTAATTAAACTAAAACTGTATAAAAAGGGTTATTATGATATAAATGAATAACATGGTTGATAATAACCCCTGGGAATGAGGTGGTCGCTTCCAAGCTGTTTCTAAAATAAATTTTGTAAATATTTTGTGACCCTTGACAATGTAAAATTTAAAAAAAAAATCCCGCTGGGTTTCTTGCTGGTTTTTCCCGGGACAGAGGGTTTTATCGAACCAATGGTATAGTAAAAAATTGACTTTCAATAGATTACAATCTATATTGAATAAACAATTATTCTATTCTAATATATACATAGTACATACACAAAACAATGCAACAGTGGTTTGATTCATAGCATTTTTACACTTTTTAACTCTAAATATTTCGGTAATACTATTTTAAATAACTAATATTACAGAAAGAAGCATTAAGCCTTACATTTTGCTAACAAATTAACTTCCCCGCCATAGATAAAGGTATCATGTGTTAGCATTGTCAGAGAATCTATCACCCAATTTCATACTCTAGATATCGTAAGAGACGACGGGGGGACTACAAAAAGAACTTATGGTCTGTGATAGATGGCGGTATAACTTGTCCGGCGTAAAATCTTGTTTAAGCCAGACGTGAAATACCCAAACCGAAAGCAGCGTCAAAAATGGGAAAACAAATCAACTCGACAGTGGAAAAGCCCCGTATCCAGAGGACTCTACTGATGATTAAGAAAAAGATAAGTGTACAATAATTAAAGAAGCTTACCTGAGAAACACCAAGATGTTCTGCGATGTTTTCGCTGCAATAGACGATGTCGCCTTGCTGAGACAACACCAGCACGAAGCCGTCAAGCGCCTTCATATACGATAGTTCTGACTGTATTTCTTCAAGTCCTTTGGGGCTACTTATGTTCGACGGTTTAACATCAGCCTCGGGTACTGAAAAGGACGTCAATTATGATTAATATAAAACGTTTTGTAGAGAGCCAGTACAAATACGTTGGCTGCAGTTTCCCATAGACACCTGCAGCCGACGTAGTACCACCAGGTGGACTGTGAGTTTATTTGTCACTTTAGTTTCATAAAAAAATAAAGTTATTAAAAATTACTGTAACACCAAATACTGTTCGTATTTTCTTTCTAGAATTTTCTAAAGAAAACTCTCCTTTCATTCGTTAATTACTATACATCAAAAGACTCCTGGCCATCCTTCTACATAGTTTGCCTCATAGGGGAGACATTTTGCCATAGCTGCCATACTTCGCAGACGGGTTAATAAACGTAGTTTATTATCAGGAAGATGCTGCTATCAATCTTCAGGTGAAGTTTTCACAGTTTGATACGGTTAGTGGATTATCTTACACAGTCACTGCACAGCAAACTTAATCTAACTTATATCAATATAACCTAAAACTTATTGTTAGAGGATGACGTCGGAACAAATATAATAAGCACTTGTGTTCTTTTAAATTTAAAGTTTTAAGTGGAATCGTTGAATTATTCAAATACGATTCTTTAAAATGTAAATTTAAGGTAAGTCCTAAAAGCAATGACGTCAGGGAACAGGATGGGACAGGAAAATCAAAACTAATTTTATTGGTTATTCTTAACCAACCACAATAAGTACCTATCATTATTAATACATTACTATGATACACGAGAATGCTGTTATCATAACAACATTTTATACAATAAAAAGAAACTGTTATTTGCTACCTGAAAAATCATATTAGCATATTCGTTTAAAAAATTAGGATTTATACTATCATAAATTATTATGAAATTTATAGGAAACGTAACGTAGGTAACGGAATATGGGAAACGTAAATCCTTATTAAATAATTTTGCCTCAAAATATTTAGCAAGATCGTACTTAGCTGATAAGCAAATTCCAGTTAAAATAAGTAAATTTCTAAATGGTGAAAAACAGAAGGAGATTAAATTTAGACGGTTTTAAATACTTGAAAGTTTGAACATAAGTATGCATAACAGTTGGTCAAAGAGTGACGCGTGCCGAAGTTTCTAATAAGTCGGAAATTTGCGGTAGCATGCGGCCAGCCCGCGTCGGGGAAAACGTACGCCATTCGATTTCGTAAATAGATAGAATCTTGCACAAATACGCGATCGTGGAAATATTGTCTATAATTTAATAGAATAAATACTTTAAATGTGTCGTATCAAAATAAAAACAATGTAATTAAATAATATTTTTTTTATTAACACCACTCCATGGCTGCCTACATTAATTATCATTTTACAGGGTAGAGCCAAGAGCTTTTATAATTTTATAGTTACAAGCACGGAGCTGTCCTGTAATGGCACTGTCGGAATATCCTCTAAACCCATATCACCACATGGGTGTCGTAAGAGGCGACAGAGTGAAATGAAAAAGGAAAAGGGCAGAAGCGTTTTATTAACTATGTCAAATTGAAGCGACAGTAGCCTAATGGCAGGGCGCGGACCGCGAACTCAAAAAGGTCGTGGGTTCGAATCCACCATTCGACTACTAGCGTGAACCACTCGTAACGTTTAAGCTTACCACGAGTAGTTAAGGGGAATATTAGTAATGTTTATAAGCATTGTTAATATTCTTTAAAAAAAACTATGTCAAATGTCCTCGTTATGTTTAGCGGTGGACTTTGATAGCTGTAACTATGACGATGATAAAGAATGATAGAGGCGTATATATGCCAGCAATGGTAAAAAAATAAATTTCTATTCCATCATCCGCAAATAAATATCCCCCCCCCCCACCGGTAGCTGTCGTTGCTAAACGAAAATAAGGGAAAACAAAAATTGAATGCGAACTATTAAAGCAATTATTCACAGAACGCGATAAAATCCAAAAAAAAACATATAAACAATAAGTGACCAGGATAAAATAAAACTTAGATTGTCTTTCGTGAGAAAAGTTACGTTCTAAGAAATTTATTCTTCAAGTAAATTGCATGATATAGCACTGTATGTTCCACGAATTTCTTTATCTAAATGTTTTCCGAGGTTAACACAACAACTGGAACACCTTCAAGAGAACCTTTGAACTGCCCCAACGCTTGAAGTAATGTATACAAGGCATTATAATCTGGCAGCGATCTCATTTAAATACAAGAAAGCGTTATTTTTTTACGTAACACTCCGATAAATGTACTAATAAAGGGCTGCTTACTGATGTTTTAAGTGCGTATGTTTTTATCAAAATGATGAAGTCCGTGTAGTTTATTCAAGTTCATCATTACATAATGTCAAACGATATTACTGTCGTGGAATTATTGCAGCCACATCCAAAACCATCCATCAGCAGAAGTTATCACTTTGACAGTATTCTTAAAATTGTTGTAATAGGTATAAAGTATTCATTTTAAACAACTATTCATGTATGTGGCCTTGATGAGGGATTCTTTGATACTTAGGTACACCTACATAATATTCCACCCAGTTACGTTTTCCATTCTATTTTTTTTTACTTATTTACTGCCCTTCGTGTTTTCTTATTTTTAGTATCAGGATAAGGAGAGACTATTTCGTGCATTTTGTTGTATTTTGTTGTAGATTTGGAAGTCTTTTCTGCGATACTCAATTTTAACTACTATAGATTAACGTAGGGCTAACATACACACGAACGCTGTGCACTGCTAAAGGTTATGAGTACCTCACAATACAATAGCAATTAAAAAAATTATTTTTGGTTTTAATAAAACTTAAACAATACGCGTTAACAGTGAGCTGTGACGACCCTGGTGAGAATACTAGGTCATAGTGAAATTATTTTATTGTCATCGGTTCTTAATATTTCTGTAAAATTTCAGACTATTCGGACGTATGGACGCTGAAAACTGAATTACGTAATCCCGTTACATTCCTACATAGATACATACAGACCAACTAGCGTTTAAAAATATAAAAAACGTTAATATTCTCAATTGTCACTCCCATGACTGAAATATGATCGGTATAATTTGGAGAAACCTCATCATTAGTCTGTTCGTTGAAAAGAATGCAATACTTACATATTTAATCAATAAATAGGTAAACAATAAAATATTTAATATCGTAGTTTTTCACCCGGGGCTTTGTTTGCGTGGATTTTGCTCTAACAACACCGTTAGTGTTTATAATGATTTCTTATGTATGCGCCAACGCTATACAATAAATTAAACTGTTTTTACGGATTTTTATCGCCTTTAAATTCACTTATTTTTAATTTACGTTGTTTTGAATGTTTTGCAGCACCCATGGCCACGATTAGGCGACTGTGTTGTTTGACGTAATGATGTCAAAGTTACAGGTTAATTTGGAATAATAGAAGATAGCATAAGCACGAGATTATTGTATCTTCTATTATATTGACTAATTTTTCATGGGCTAACTGGACTGCTAAATGGCATTAAGTCCACCCTTTAAAGTTCGTACAATAAAGTTTTGAAATAAATACAGGATCTCAAGCAGGTGGTAGTACTTAGCCGCCTTCTCTATGGAAATTGGGATTTTTTTAATTTCTATATCGATAGGAAATGATGTTCTTCTGCGAAGATTTGTGATCTATCAAATCTGATGAAATGGCGGCGGCCGTCGAGGATATGATCACTAACTACGGACTTCCGGGGCGTTGGTGTTTCGAGAAAGCTACATAATGTTCTTTAATAAGGTTTTTATTAATTTTTTGGTTTGTCGTATATCAAAGAAATCACATTCACAAGCTGGTATACCCCTGCATCTTGAAGATGCAATATAAATCTATCACGTTTTATTCGTTATTTTTAAATATCAACAAAACAAATGACAAAAATCTGTTCGAGAAGCATTTTTCACTTTTTTTCTATAGAATAGGTGTGACAAACGAGCATATCACATCCACCTCATGGTAAGTGGATGCTGCGGCCCATAGACATCTACATTTATCTTCGATTAAGAATCAAAATGTAGATGTGTTGTCTCCCCTGAGGTCTAAGACACGAGCCGCCGAGACCAAAATTGGATCTGGGGGATATTACTTTTTCTTTATTTATATGCATATAACGTAACAATCATTGCAATATAAACCTCTTATTAAACAAAAATTGCTTCTCGCCAAATAAGTTTGTGTTCCAAGTACCTAATTGTTCTATACTTTGTACACGCACTGGGCCACTTATTGAGAGTACTAAGATAAAAGACAGTATTAAGGACAATAATATTACTACTTTCAGTCTTATTTGGGTGACACAACAGAAGCCGAACAAAATATAATATAAATCAATAATATATGACCGAATATTCGATATAATTAATTATTATTTCTAAACAGTTCAGTTATGGTTTATAAAACAATTAATATTTTCAAAATGTAATTTTAACGTTAATCGTAATTTAATTTTATATTTAATGTGGCACTAAGTAGAAAATCAAAATATGCTTAAATTCTGTTGAAATGATAGCATAAAAAATATGAATGATGCATATATTACAAAGGCCTGATTATGTTGTTATGCGCCTAAGTCGACGGCACTAGCGCCATCTAGTCTCGAACCGAAGAACTAAACTTCTTGAAGTTGAAACTCGAACTCTCGGTACCTTGCGCGTGTTAACTTGAATATTTTGGATATTTCGGTGCTAATTTATATTTATAGGCGCTGCAAGATGCGATCGGGGAAGTATTGAATTTGGCGAGACAAGCGAAGCTTCGGAGCGGAATAAAGTGAATCAGTGTGATTAATTTTTAGTGTAAGTTTTAATTGGTGTAAAGAAAATTAAAGTGTTAATTTAGGTAATTCTATCGGCAATTTTTATTGTCACGAACCTCAAGCTCGTAACAATGTTATAAAGATTTCACTATAAATGAAGTACTGCTTTGAGTTAATTATAAACAGTCATACATTTTCGATAACTAATTTCTATCTAAGTACCTAGGCACTGCTATTAGAATACATAACATATTTACCTTATGAAAACAACACAAGTGT